CAGCAGTTTTATGTTTGAGACTTGAGTTTTCCGCAATCTCTATGGTACGACTGGAAAGCAGCTTCAGATTGCCTTTTGGGAAAGCAGCAAAACCTTACTGTACTTTGCCTCAGCAATTTTTCCCGAAGCCTTCACAAAATTTTCTGTCTGCACCAGCGTGGTCTCGTTAGTATTGCCGACAATTATAGGATCATACACGTGAAACGATGCAAGAATCCAATTATCTCCATTCTTGGGCTTTTCCGATTCTTTCAAATCCGAGGTATCCCCCACAAATGTTATTCCCACTAGATATAGTGCGAATTCATACCGATATTTAGTGACCACGGAATCTGCTTTCAAGGTTAAGGCTGCTTGGAAGATTTCTTGCAAATGTGCTCGTCTGTCTTTACAAAATTCCGTATGCTCTCCCCAAGTATGGAATAGTCCATCTCCTACACTGTCTAATGTTGCTGCGAACAAGGGAGCTACTGCATTGGAAAATCTGTCCGCAAGATCCATGGCTCTTCTGTGTATTGACTTTTCCTTAAACCGTTTTCCTTCGACGATGGTGCGATGAGCTGCCATGTCCAAGCGATAAAGCTTGTCTTTCCCATCTACTGTATTAGTTCTCACATAATCATCAATGAGGGAAGACTCACCTAAGCTAGAGATAATGTGTCTATAACTCGAGAGAATATGGGGATTCGAAGATGCTAGGTTGGGAAACCTCGACATAAATACCCAGTCTCTGAGTGCAGCCAATACAAGAACTCTAATGCAGGTGTGTGCGTCGAACTTCTTCAAGATGGTCTGGACGTCATTTCTACCAATAGTCGTTTCAATATCGCTACTAAATGCCGAAAGTGTCAGGTTACGCAAGTCCCCTGATATTGCAAATACTCTGGGAAAAAGAAGACCGGTAGTACTGCAATGGTAAGAAATTGAAGAGAGTCCGAACTGTATTTGATCCATCGCATCATCCGCGGTATCGTGCCCTAGATGTAGGCTTCCTGATGAATTCATATCGGCAAAAGTTGCAAACTTGTGCATTTCTCTGTTTTCTTTGGCCAACCGACATATTTCCTCCAAATCCTCAAATTGCCGGGTTTCCCGTGAGACATTCGCATCTTCTTCTTGAGTCTTCCGTCCTTCATCTTGGCGAGCCTTTCGTGCTTCATCCAGGTGTTTTAATTCTGCCCTCAGATCTCTGATTGTCATTTGGGCTTCGGCTTCCCTCATACTGAGCTTTTCGGCCTCTGCTTGCCACAGCTCTTGCATTTGAGCTATTTCCCGGTTATACTTGTTCTCCAAAGCCCTCAAGTGTTTCAACCAGATATTTTCATTCGTATTTTGGTTACCTAGGTCGGTCGAGAACGCGTCAGGCTTGGTTCGGATGGTCTCCTTGCCATTGGACCTAGCAGCACCATCTTTAGTCTTAGTTGAAGTGGTCGCCGGTTTTCCGACAGATGATCGAGATTTCTCCACTCGATTCGCGGCGATTTCTTCAATGGCTTTCGTAGATGATTCAGCCTACGGAGCAGACTAAGTAACATTCTATGTTCACGACATGGAGATATACATACCGTGCTCGAGCGAGCTTTTTTGGAAGGGGGAGGACTCTGGTCTGCTTTTTCCACTTGCTTGCCTCGCTTTACTCCCCTCTTACCCTCTTCTTCTAGAGGATGCGCTTTCGATTGACCTGTGGCCGTTTTCTGCGTTTGTATGTCTTTCATCACTTTTGTAATGAGCAGGCTTGTCGCATTGCTGGTGTGTTGGTCGACTAATATTCTAATGCCTTCATGCATTCCTCCTGGAAGCTTGGTCATATATGCGGAACCTTTACTTAGCACACCAACGAGCTTCATCGCCTGGTCTGAATCATCACTCTGATCATTGTATCTCTTCCATAGCACCCTTAGATGTTCTTTTACTGCATCACGGCTCGGGACGCCATGGAACAAAACCATAAAATTGAGTATGCCCTCACTGGGTTCCACTTTCTCTTGCTTGCAGAAGTCAATCCAAGCAAGCAGTGCAATATCATCCTTCATTTGCCAGCGAAAAGTAGCCATATTTGAAATCAAGATATAAGAACCCAACAGTTGTTTGTGATTTTGTAAATACGGACCGAGGAATATGTAAAGATAAACCGGATATTTGGCCAGATCCCAGCCACCAAGCGCAGGAAGCGCATATTTTCATTGCCGGCATCTTTTGTTTGCTATCCTCCGGAACTTCTGCACATCTGATAGATTTAATGATAGAATCCTGAAAATTTTCGTCACACCTGAGAGAGGTGCCGTCCCTCCTGCAGCAACCCATTTTACGTCAGCGGCTTATCATCCTTCAGCCCAGAGCCGTTTGTCTAATACCGGTACTACAGTTTTCTTTTCGAGCCGCAAAACTCGAAGTCTAAAATTAGTTTTCTGCTGAAGAATAGGATGCTCTCGAGTTTTGGAAAAATTCTAATCCGTTATTTAAGCCACAATTTGCCCAGACAATCGGCAACAGAAAACTGCCGTTAGGAATGATCTTGTAATTTGCTTCTCTATCAATTCAATTCTCGACCGCTACCACATTGTGTTTCCATCATACCATTATACTTGCTTTTTCTGTTATTCATCTTGTGATCTTCTTTGCTTTTCTTCGTCGCAAGAGAGTTAGTTATCCGTTATCTGGAGAGATGCCCAATCAAGGATTTGTTGCAAATTATAACGCAAGCTGCCGCTGTCAGGCAAGGAGAAGCGGGGTTGATCACATGGATTATTACTTCTTTTTTTTTTGAAATCAGAATGAGGCCAAGGGTCATTGGATAATCAAGCAGACGGCGAGCTTCCGGATTATGCGCTTGGTGAGAGCGTTCCTGTATTCATGAATCACATATGAGGCACATCTCTCCCCATCCAGTTTTGGAAGAAGTCTTTAGCACCACCATAAACTCGAATGGTTATCATTATCCACTGAATCGATAGAGCTTGAAAGCTTCAAAAATTAAACATCGCAACTAGAGGAGGGCCTTATGGGTCGAAGAATCGCAATGCCACTAGACAAGTGCTGCTAGCTCATCATCCAAGCACCTCACAAAACCATGGTAAGAGAACTATGCTTTCTTCGGCCCCAAGCACTGGTTCATCTGCGCAGCGGAGTTCAAACTTGCGGGTCAACGCTATAACACCAGCAGATAAAGTTGTTGTTGGCCTGAACTATGGCACAACATTCACATCGGTTTCCTATAGTATTGTTCCAATCGAAAATAGCAATCTGAAAGGCTTCGCCAATAATATCATGAGTGTGGTTAACTGGCCAAGCGATGGAGAGTACGGCGAAAGAAAGCAAGTTCCAACAGAAAGTTGGTATTCATCAGAGCTGATTAAGCGGCAGGGAGATGATGAAAATGAGATATTCGATGAGAATCTTTTCGATTCATTCAAAGGGCAGCATCCCTTGACACTCAGCGGGGTAGGTGGAGATAAAGACAATGATCCCGAAGACTCAGAAATGGAAGATGAGCTTTCCGTGGACTTTCTCTGGGGATATGAGGTGCCATACCATGTGTACAAGGCAAACTCAACCCGAAGCCAGAGACGCCTTATTAAAAGAGCTAAACTGATGTTAGTTAGAACCGAGTACACTAATAAAGATCGAAAGGGACTTCGAGGCAAATTCACTGGCCTACTCAAAGAGGGTATCATACGCAGACACGGGAAACGATCCAAGGCCGAGCCTGATATGTGGGATGCTGTTGACCCGGTTTCAGATTTTCTTGTGAAGGTCTTGCAACACACTAAAGAACAACTGAAACTTCTTCATGGATTCACGGACCGAACTCCTGTGGATTTCGTGATGACTGTACCGACTGTCTGGTCTCCAGAGGCCTCTCGTGTACTTTAAACGTCGGTAAAAGCAGCTATTCAAGCCAATAATTTTGGATATCCTTGGCCTACAACGGCAGATAATATCTTCCTGATCTCTGAGCCGGAAGCAGCTGCCACATTCCTCTTGGAGAATTCAGAGGATATCTCTGTACGTTTATTCTATTACTGCCTTTGTGTCTTTAGCTAACAATCGCGTGGCTTGGCGAGACGTTCATTATTGCTGACTACGGTGGTGGTACCGTCGATGTTGTAACGTATGGTGTTAGTAATCGCTATCCTTTACGCTTGAAGGGAGAAAAGATTCAACCCATCGGTAAATTCAAACGGTTCCCTAAACGAATTCCTTATATTGATAAATATGCTAGGGGACAATTGCGGATCTAGTTATCTCAACGATGGCTACAAAGATATGTTGCTCAATCGACTCCAGGACGAGGATTATCTCCTCAAAAATGGCGAAACGCTCGAAGCAATTGTCAATCGATTGATTCCAGACTTCGAGAACGAATACAAGAGACGAGTCAATGTCATGAAACTACCTGGCCACAGGGTGTATATAGCTGGCTTACGCGGTGATGAACGGATGAATAGAATTGGCCCAGCAGAGAAGCGTTTCAAGACAAATAATCTACTCATGAATAAGTATGGGCTTTCTTCTTCGGTCTATAGGCATCCTTGGCTGATATGAACTTAGGAGTGACTATGAAGATATATCCGGACCCCTCCTCACGCGTATCTCGGCATTGTTGGAAAATCAAATTGAACAAGCCGTGGCAAAAGACCTTGTGGTAAAGGTATGCGTCAAAATTATCAGATGCATGAAACTTACTGAGTGTTCAAAGAAAGTGTTTCTCGTGGGTGGCTTTGGTGGCTCCCCTTCTCTGAGAAGTTACCTCAAGCAATAGCTTCAAGAGAAATCAGAGGAACTTGATTCTAACATAGAATTGGTAGTGGATAAGCATAAATGGTGAGATATGTCTCTTCTGATCTATCTTATAAGCTAACAACTTCGAAGCATCACAGCCGTGGCATCCGGCGCCGTTCTTCGTGCTTTAGATAAGAAAAATGGACCAGAGAGAATTTCACAGTCAAGTTATGGCTTTCTCCGTCGTGAGCCATGGCAGCCTAAAGTCTATCCTGGACACGAGAGAGCGAAAGCCAAGGAAAGCGAATTGGATGGCGAGAAATATGTAGCCACGATTGATTATTTCATGATTAAGGTAAAGGATCATCTATTAGTTGAGCATGACCTTTTAATCCACTCCTAACACCCAATAGGGTAAACCTGTTCGTCCAGATCATCAATTCCCATCATTCCCCACCTATCACACCTTTGCAATCGACGCAGAAAGATTCCTGTGCGAAGAACTTCTTTACGTTTCCGACACCGCGACAGAATCTCACTGCAGCCGGAGAAATATTAAAAATGCCGGTGAGTTACCATATATCCATCCATACATATACATATCTTCCCGTTTTAATCACATCATCTCCATTCCATCCATACAATACCATACTAACAGCTCTTTGAAAAATCACCAGACGCACAAATCACCGGCCGCATCATCGTAGACATGACATTTCTCCGCGATAAAAATATTATCAAGCCTGTGTTTCCGGAAGAAGTTAGTAGTGGGATGAAACATTATAGAGTGGATTATGAATTGGTGGCGATTGTTGAGGGGAGGGCTCTCAGATATGAAGCGAGGTCTCTGGCAGGGGAGGGTGGGAAGGTTTGGGGGAATGGTCGGTTTAGTATTGCGGCTGCTTTTAGGGAGGGGACTGCTTAGGTTTGGTTGGGTGGGTTTTGGATTCGTGAATTGGGATTTGTGGTTTGGAGTGATTTTTGGTTGGGTATGTGGCTTTGAGGAAGGATATTATTTCTTTTCTCACTAACCTGCGAAATACGAAATCGAAGTTAAGGACTGGGCAAGAAAAGGATAACTTACTCACACATGTCAAATTTCAAATGCATGGTAATCGGCAAATTAATAAATCATCCCCACCCCATTCAACAGGGTGGCAGGAAGTGTTTTCTTATTCCAATATGTACAATCAAGATACGGTTCAACTATATTACAATGAATTTATCCCCTCTCAAAAATCCATTCACACCTTTCCACCTTTGTCCCTTTCCTCCCCCTTCGGCTTCATCCCCATCCATCTAGCCAAAAGGCCATTTAAACTTCACACTCATCATCCTCACTTCCTGTCTGTGTCTCAACAGGCGCAACAGAGCTAACAACCGCAGACGAAGAAACATCTTGCTCTCCACTATCAGCCCCACCATCTACGAATAACCGTCAGTTTATGCAGGAAGACACTGGGAGTAATACTCATTCTGCTTGATACATGTACCGGCAGAACAAGATTTTCCACCTGCGCACTCACCATATAGAGGAACGGAAGCAGCTGAGGGAGTGCTGCTGGTTGTGGCTGGTTTGACGGATGTAGAATGAGCTGGAGTGGTGCTGGAAGCTTTGGTTACGAGGGTTGTTTTGGGGGTTGCGGATGAGGAGGAGGAGGCTTTGGTGCTAATGCTGGTGCTGGTGCTGGATGTGGGGGCCGGGATGGAGGAGGATTGAGCGGGTGTAGTGAAAGGTTTGTGGGCGACAGCAGCTACGGAAGCGGCGGCGCCTCCGTGGGCCATGAGTGCGGTGACGGGGGTTCTGCCTGGGAAGAAAGAGGTTGGGATTGTGGGGATGGGGATGCTTGCGGTGACGGCGAAAGGAGTGGCTAGATCTTGGGCCATGGTTGCGGCTTGGTACCCGGTGGGGATGGCGCCGAGAGATTTGGTTGTGGTGTATGCGGATGGGGAACCGGTGTCGGGCTTGAGACATCCGCCGGAACCGTAGGCATTTTGGCAGATGTAATTTTCAGCGCTGGTGGTTTCGCTGCCGATGGCAAAATCGGTGATGGTGATGTTTGTGCATGGAGCGGTGGCGGAACAGAGGAGATTGATTGGTCCACGTGCGAGGCCGCTGGTTGCAGTTCCCTTCCAGTTGTTGAAGGAGAGATTTTCGTAGATAACTCCTTTACCGGCGGCCACGCTTGCTTGGGGCCAGGCAGCGTTAATGTCCAAACTATAGGCGTTGGAGCGACCGATAAAGTTGTTGAATTGACAGTCAGAGACGGTTCCACTACCACCGTTTGACTTGATCATAAGCATTTGGTTGGATCCATAAGTGTAGATGTTGTTATAGACAATGTGAGAGATGGCGGTATCTGCTCCGAGAGAGCCCATACCACAACCTCCTGAGCTGTTACAGTAGATGTCTTCGATGAGAAGATGGTCGGAAGGGTTCTGTGGTATGATTAGATAAATTTATTACAACTTTGTCGAGGACAAAACTTGCCTTCACAGTAACACACTCATCCTTGTTAGTAACCTCAACATCGTGAATCCAAATATTAGTTCCCCAAACATCAATACCATCGAGACCTCCCTCATTACCACCACGAATGATCATGTTGTAAACCTCTCCATTCGTGCAGGTGTCAATCACGAAATGGAATTGAGGGGCATCGACTAAAGCAATGTCGTGAACGGACCAGTTGGTAGCGTCGTAAACTCGGAGGAGGCGTGCACCATAAGTCGAGGATTTGTGAAATTCATAACCATAACCTTGAATAGCACCTGCAGAAGTGCTGCTGTACATCTCGAAATCGGTAGTGTGTTTGATCATGATCATATTCCCAGCATCGGTACCAACACGATAAATAATACCATCAAGTTTAAGTGCCCATGCCGAACCTCCACTCAGAGTAACCCAGGTACTCATACCATAATCTCCGGGGGGGACATAGACTATAGAAATATAAGGTCTTGATCAATGACAGCAGCTTTGGGATATATACCTGTTCCACCAGTCTTGCAGGCCGCAAAAGCAGAGGTAAGCGCCGGGCCAATATCTGCAGTTTTGCTTGCCTTTCCACCATAGTTTAAAACATTACACACTTTTTTAGCCTTAGATTCTCTCGAGGTCAATGGGCCGACTGCACCACTTAATTGTGCCGATACTAAAGCTGGGAGTGCAATTGCCGCAAGGGCTGTCAATGTGCTGAGTTGCATTTTGTAGAAACTATAACTTGAAAAGGACGATTGAAGAATGAATGTACAATGGTCAAGACCAAAAACGATGACGAAGCTCAAAAAAGAGTGAAAGGCAGACAAGTCTGCGTTGGAAGTAGAAGAAGAGAAGTCAAAGATGGAAATTCTTAAGGAACGGTTGGAAAGATCTGGAAGTATATTTGTCTATATGTACTTCTACATGTACTTGGTAGTTGATAACCATGTACAGTACTGGCTCGAGGATATGCCCATGTAAGAATCCCACCAAATCAATCAAATCAATCAAAACTTAGAGAGTGGGGAATTATGGGCCGGCGCACCTGGGGCCAGGGGAATCAGCGTGATGCGGATCATGTTGAAGAAGTGAAAATGACTCCGCGGTAGCCAGTTAAAGTAATCTTTAAATTAAAACGCAGTACGAAAGTGGTTGTCTAGATGAGCTCGTTTAGATGGAAAGTCCAAAAGAACCATCATAACTTCTTACAGATGATATAAGAGGAGAAAATGTGGTCCCAATCTCGAGTTAATCTCGAGTATATCTGAAACTCTGATCCACCCAAAGTGGTTAAATATCACGACTTTACCCGTTGTGTCGTAGTTTGCGAATCTGCGACGCGATTAGCTTTTGGAATACCATGTATCCCCTGAATGCAGGTACAGTTCTAAGTATCTCGTTTGTTAGACGTTGCTGCTTTTGGAGAAATCTTCTCCATTTGTTTGACATCAATTAGAGAGAAGCTCTCATAACTAAGGGTTAACTTTTACGGAGTACAGTCTGCTTCCCAACAGAAAGGAGGTTCCCCATTCGGTGACCATGTTTCATGTATACCCATGTATATACTTTCAACATCTTCGAGTTATAGCCAGACTCGGTTGCACCCTGGTACATCGATTAGTTATCCGACTTCGCATGAACCATGGAGCGTTTTCGGTGAAATTATCAGACGGAACTTTTGTTTCTTCCAAAGACTGTAGATTCTGATACACCTCTAATAAATGTTCCCAGGTGATAATCATTGAGTTTTGGGATTTGTGGTCCTAGATACCCATGTGACTTCTCGGTAGATGTGTAAAGTTAACTTGTTTCACCAAATTCCCATCTAAAGTATCTATTATATATTAATAGATTCACACAGAGTCGACGAGGTTTTGATATTTTGATAAAGATGTTCATGAGGTCTTCCCGGGGGACTTTTCGATTTGGAAAGATTTTTCTCTTTTATTTGGGGAGACAACGAAAGAACCAATAAAGGGAGTTTTTTGTTTCCAAGATTAAAAGCGGTCGACCAAAGTTGTCAAGAGATAGATATTGCTGATCTACGGGGCTCCCAGAAAACTCCATACCAAGATCTTGCTCCAAGAAATTAATTAGAGTAAGCACTGGCGAAAATATGTATGGTGAAAATATATACTGTGAATGTGCATTGAAGCCAATATTTCTGATCCAGCCGAGTACGAATCACGAGTATAATGAAAAGTGAGATGAAGGATAATGTCAAGTCATTTCTGCATGGTTAGTAAATATGTTCAAAGTTGTGAAAAAGCTTGTGTGCTGTGATAGTGATGTGATACTAGATGATTACGTATATATATGAGCTTTGAGCCCAGCTGTTACGAGGTTTGCCGTCTAGATCACGTGGAAGTGCTCTAGGCTCTCGAGGTGGTTTATAACTAGGCGTCAAGCAGGGACTTAAAGTAATGACAATGATGATATGCAATTCGTAACTAATAGTAGGATATACTAAATGATTGATCTTGAGCACGAAGCTCTATACAAAGGAAATCCATCTTGATTATATGGACCTTCATGCCTATGGCTAGTCAGGATCGCTGTGCGGTCCTGGACAGCCAGCGTTCCTCAGCGGTCCATAACGTGACTTAATCACGTTACCTTGGTTTAGTCATGTAACGCGGCGTAGAAGATAGCCGTCGTAACATCCTTAGATCATCTAAATCGTATAATAATCCCAAGTAATTGTATTATATATAAATATAATTAATTGTCACGAACCACGTCTAATAATATCCTAGGATGAGAATCGTCCCAGGATTAGTGTCCTGAGGCCAATAGGAGATCACGTGACGTGATAGCTCTGCTAGCTGGCTAGCAGAGCTAGCATTCAGAGAAACGTTTAATATATAGTTAGAGTAGTTTCATAGTTTAGGAGCTTCGTGCTCAACTTAGTTATCAATTAGTTTACCTACATTCTACTTGATCTAGTAACGACTTCACTTCCAAGTGAATACCAATGATAAAGCCTTAACCCATAACTACCAACCAGACGAAACCTCAGGCAGCCGCTGCCTTCAGTACAGTATCATTACACAAATGTTCGAACTTTTTCCTATACAGTAGTCAATAGCAACTTTTTGATACTGTTGAGAAGATATTTAAAAATTTTCGATATCTCGGACCCCCCCTGCCACTTTTCCCAATATTCCTCAAATATATTAGCCTCACTCAAATGTACCCAAATATATATTAGACCCAATATTTTTATTACACTCAGTATTTCTAATATTTCAGAAAATCAATCCGAACGCACCCTAAGGATGAGATTTTTGAATATCTGCGAGGCTGAGGCTGAGGCTGAGGCTACGTGTGGCTGGTGCGGGCTCTTTGCTAAGCGTGGCGGGGCAACATGTAACCAACCTGAGGCTGTCTAAATAATTTTTGGCAGACGAAGGGCTTTCAATAAACGCGACTTGCTGAGTTGAACGCGCTGATCAGGGAAGAAGTTTGTCCAATATTCGGAATTTTGTTTTGCTTGTTTCGATACCTCCCCAGTTTGTTTGAGTGGCCATTTGATCTAGAAAATCTCGTACATCTTTGACCATGGCGATGAGTAAGTTTTTCCCTGCTCCTGCTGATTATATGTCTTTTAGAGCTTCTGCTAACCACCCCACTATGTAGATATTGACATGTCGCAGGGTACGTTGTGTTTGTATACTCGGTCAAACCTTTCTAGAAGCTTACAATGGATTAACAGCGTCTGTGGTAAAGGATGAGCAAGGCAGACCTTTCATCGTTGTCAGAGAGTAAGGGTTTATGTTCTTTTTGTTTAAAGTCAAAGTACTGAAGATGTTACAGTCAAGGGAAGAAGAAGAGACAACATGGAAATGAGGCAGTCAAATCACATATCCTAGCAGCAAGAACAGTAGCCAATATTGTCAAGACCTCCCTTGGCCCACGAGGCCTGGATAAGATCCTCATTTCCCCAGATGGCGATATCACAGTTACCAACGACGGTGCTACCATTTTGGGACAGATGGAGATTCAGAACCACGTTGCAAAGCTTCTAGTCGAACTTTCCAAATCTCAGGATGACGAAATCGGTGACGGTACAACTGGTGTGGTAGTTTTGGCTGGTGCCTTATTAGAACAAGCCGCCGAACTTATCGACAAGGGAATTCATCCTATTCGGATAGCCGACGGATACGACCAAGCTTGTGATATTGCTGTTGCGGAGCTGGACAGAATTGCCGATACTATCGAATTCACAAAGACACAGAAAGAGAATTTAGTCAAGGTTGCAAGGACAAGTTTGGGAAGCAAAATCGTCTCCAAGGCTCATGACCAATTCGCAAACATTGCTGTTGATGCTATCCTATCTGTTGCTGATTTAGAGCGCAAGGATGTTGACTTTGACTTGATTAAGGTTGATGGTAAGGTTGGTGGATCCCTTGAGGATTCTTTACTGGTTCAAGGTGTTATTGTCGACAAGGACTTTTCACATCCTCAGATGCCTGATGAGGTTCGAGATGCCAAGATCGCTATTCTCACATGTGCATTTGAACCACCCAAGCCAAAAACCAAGCATAAGCTCGATATCACCTCGGTTGAAGAGTTTAAAAAACTACAAACATACGAAAAGGACAAGTTCACCGAGATGGTTCAACAAATTAAGGATACTGGTGCCAATCTTGTTATATGCCAGTGGGGATTCGACGATGAAGCAAACCATCTTTTATTACAAAGCCAATTACCAGCCGTGAGATGGGTCGGAGGACCAGAAATAGAATTAATCGCCATTGCAACAAACGGTAGAATCGTACCAAGATTTGAGGATTTATCAGCTGAGAAACTTGGAAAAGCTGGATTAGTCAGAGAAATGAGTTTCGGTACTACCAGAGAGAAGATGCTGGTCATTGAGGAATGTGCAAACACTCGTGCCGTCACAGTGTTTGTTAGAGGAAGCAACAAGATGGTATGTCATATCGAATTAGAATACCTACGTCGTCGCTAACAGTAGAACAGATTATTGATGAGGCCAAACGCTCTCTTCACGATGCATTATGTGTTGTTCGTAACCTTGTTAGGGATAATAGAGTTGTCTATGGTGGTGGTGCGGCCGAAATCGCATGCTCCTTAGCCGTCGAAGATGCCGCTGTTAAGTCACCTGGTCTCGAACAATACGCTATGCGTGCGTTTGCCGATGCCCTTGACGCAATTCCAATGGCTTTAGCAGAGAACTCGGGTCTTTCATCGATTGAAACTCTGGCCTCCGTTAAGAGTCGACAAGCTACCGAGAAGAACACAAGATTGGGTGTTGACTGTATGCAAACCGGTAGTAATGATATGAGAGATGCTTTCGTTATCGACCCATTGATCGGTAAGAAGCAACAGTTGATGTTGGCAACGCAACTTTGTCGCATGGTATTGAAGATCAATAATGTCATCATTGCTGGAAACGACGAGAATGAATTTTAGAAGGGGAAAATGTACCATAGTAAAAATAAGCTAAGGGTTCATGATCAAATAAATTCATTTAAGCGCTTCATGTTAATTTACCCAGTGACTCTCCCAAGGATGAGGCTATTGTCATGGTTGGATAGCTCTAATGTGCAAACACTTTTCATTCCGAATTAGGAACAATTAGTCAGTGTGGTAAGGCGGACATCACTTCGAATCCGCCGGTGTAGAAGCATCAAGAATCAACGGGTGACTGACAAATTCTTTCCTAGTCCTAATTTTCTATTGGCTAGAAGTCATAACTTTCCCATCCGGGAATCAAAAGCACATTTATTAGGTACGGTATGAGTCACGAGCTAGCTAGGTAGGTAGCTAAAGTAATATCTGAACCATCGAAAACATAGGTAGAATTAATCAGGAATTTTCGAAATTTCACTAGTTAGTGAGTAACTTCCTAACTTTGTACTATCGAATAAGTACCAGTGGTGGATGTGGAGGTTCATAGTCTTTTTGGTATGTTTGCTTGCTTGCTTTTGTGAATATTGTTGGGTGACGGACACTGTCGATATCTGCTTAGGTAGTACCTCATTAGGTAGGTATCTCTTTTTCTTCACTCACTTGCTACTTCTACCTTCACAAGCTTGGATATATACCTAGTAAATACTGATGGTATTGATGAATTTTATGGTGTCGTCTCTTCTGGGGCTTATTGTCTTACTTTATTAGGTATTTATATGGGTACTTTGCGCTTTACATACTTTACTATTCATATACTTTATTATACTTTATTATTCTCACACTTCACTATTCATATACCTCACTATTACCACACTTTACTATTACCGCTCAATTACCTAGTACTATGTACTTCCTTAAGACCGAAACAAGGACTTAGCTACCCACCTAGTTACTAGTACCCACCTAGTAGGTATTGACATGATTCACACTTTGAGCCTCATCCGATACTCTAAATTCACTTACAACTTATATCAAATACTTACTACCATCAACTCACTAACTACTAATAGAAATTCATTTTTTCACTAGGACAGTCAGTAAGAATCTCCAAACCTTTTCACTTCAACATCGTCAAGGATTTGTCTGAGAAAACATTCAATCCATCTTATTCCTCATCAACTTATTATTCTCAATCGAGGTCAATTCAAAGATTCCTCCTCTTTAACTGGGAAAGCCACAGCAGTGAATACATAAAACCATTACATCCAAGAACGACAGAAACGCCACAAAGAACTCTCGAGTCCGACATTTTAACTTCTGCAAGCTGCGAAGAAGATCGCCGTTTAAGCGCAACTTCTTACTATTTTTCTATATCCTTTTGGCCCACGCTACTTGACACTAGCAATAGACTTGGTTCTGACAAACATACACTTGGAAAAGCGCAACTTCCTTCTTCACTTAAATACCTACTTCCACTTCCTGCATATTCCAGCACATTCCAAATCCTGCATAACAATCACAACATCGAAATCAATCGAAGCACCTGATACAACACACTTTGATAAACCTCTCATTCGTTACAAATTACTTGAGGATACTATCAATTCACGCTTCATTCTTCAATTCTATTTCAAGTACTTGGACGCCCTACAATCGTTATTCTTAACTTTTAATCTTGAATTCTTCCCATTTTCTGCAACGCAGATAATTTGAAATCTGGCCTATTACGTATCCGAATACAGTCATAAACCTTTTACTTTACGATAACATCATCTCTCCCCTATCAAGATGACTTTCACTAGCTTTTACGAGCAACCTCTTCGACAAATTTTCGCTGAAGTGGCTGAGATTAAGCGCACAGCACGCAGCAGGATCATTTCTCGCGATCCTGTTACCTCAGCTGCACCAAAAAAAGCTTTTTCCAATGCTCCAACCAAGGTTTCTCAACATCAAACCAACTCAACTGTTCACAAAGTAGTTAATTCTTCACTAGCTGGCTCCGGTCAGGTGCAGCGCCAGATTAAGACTGCTCCCTCTACTCCTGTCTGCGTTTCAACAGTTGCTACCGTTTCAGCTGCTCCTTTAGTAGTCGAGCCTCAAAAAGCTATCGTCGATCAAGGACTTGAGCGGATCAAGGCCGCTCACTTTTCCCCTCTCCCAAGGAGATCAATCAGAACAGACTTGGCTGTTCCTGTAGTTGGATCTCGAAGATCTAGCGTCGATCCTGGACTTGAACGAATTAAGGCCGCTCACTCTGCTTCTTCTCCGGTTGCATCAGTCAAGGCAACTCAAGCTATTCTTGAAACTGAACCACAAGCAGCTGCATCAAACAATGTCGCCCCGATTGAATCAATCAAATTTGCAAAAGATAGCAACATTAAAACAGGCGTAGATAACGGACTTGATCGGATCAAAGCCGCTTGCCCTTCTCCTGATGTCCCAGTTACACCAACTGTACCTATTAAAGTTTCCAAATTTTTCCTGACTCGCAATGGATGCAAATACGAGGATAATTGTCCGTCATCTCACAATTATGATGCTCCCACTCGGCGTAAAGAGCAATGGGCAGCTAATGATGCGAAGAAGCTCCAGCAAGTTCGCTCTAAGCAACAGCTTGCATATACCCAGAAGGCTCTTGCTCTCAAGAGCAACAATTCCAAGGTTTCGAGTGCTGTTACTGCCTCTTCAAAGTCTTCCTCAAAAGAGACGATAAAAAAGAGATCAGCTTGCAAAGACTATTGGTCTCCTCGTGGTTGTCATCGGAAGCGTTGCCCGTTTCCACACGAAAATCTCACTTCGCAGGAGCCTGAAAAGCTCATTGACGACGCCGTTCCTGGTGAAGTTCAAATTCTCAAGTGTCCCAACGCCATACTACGCAAGCGCAACGCCAATAAGGCCAGTAAGGCCTCCAAGGCTTCTGTGGTCCAGTTTACTGAGTCTGAGCCAGAGACGGCACTTCCATGTTCCGAACCTATTCTGTGGGCAAACAATCCTCATTTGAGTGATGGAAAGTACTGCGACAGTGCTATCTGGAAAATTTTCGGTAAACCCTGTCCAACAAAGGAGGAAGCTATCGAATGGTTTCAAGAGATGCATTCAAGTGGTAACCTTGAGCATTTCCCCTTTGGTGATATCATCATATGGGCAAATGCAATGTGCATTTTAAACACGGACGAGTTCCTGACCCATATAGGGTACATGCCAGGCATTTTCGAAAATTTTGGACCCAGAGAACAACTCTATATCGAAAGACTCAGGACCAAGTATGATGCAGAGAAAGCTAAACCAAAATATGACACTTTCCACTGTTTTGACAAACTTCCTAATGAGTTATGTATGAAGATCTGGGGCTTCGCAGTCCGGGCAGGGAGAACTCTTACTGTCAGTTTTAATAAGAAGCAAATCTATACTTCTAAAGGCCCTGGCTTATTCATACGTCATTTGAGATCCGGAGGCTCGCCATTGTGGTGCGTCAACAAACAATCACAAAAAGCATCAATGATGGATAGACACTGTGGATATTATTTTGGTTGCGATTATTTCTCTCCGGGATTTGATACCTTGTTTCTCAACGATTCCGCTGAATCGCTTAATGCTTTCACCAGTCAGATTGCCCTCTGGAGAGGGAATGTTGTCCAAAGATTGTCCTTTCCTCATTACCAACTTTGCAACGCCACCTGCCTGCGTAGGTTTGCTGCCGATCTCGTTAAAGCTTTCCCGGGTCTAATTCGCATTGAGTTTTGGCTCTCGGATGGGGAATACCATTCCAAGTACCTCAAGAAATCGGCCAGCGTTATCGAAAAAGCCAATGCAGCAATTGTTCAAGCCTATGGAGCTCGTGTTGGTGTTAAACCACCACGTGTGCGTTTTATCACGATACCGGAAAAACGTGCATTGGAGATTGGAATCGGTGGTGGATTGTGGTAGATGGTGACTGTCTTTTTTTTTTGGGCGTGGTTGGGTTTATTCTTTGGGTGTGTTCTTTAGATTCTGGATGTGCTCTATAGTGCTTTCAGTCCTGATTTTTCCCTACTCGGCGTAGTTTTTGGTATGTCTTGAAGGATTTGAAATGATTTTGATGGATTTCGATGGAAAATTGATTTGGACATATAGGAGTTTGGTTGGGGGGTGGGGTAGGAGGCGGTTTTGAACTTTAACTTTAAGAAATTGTATATGTTTAAAGTAGGAATATTAATTACTTGTGATTAAGAAGATGAAGGAGTAGTGATGTGTTACGACGGGCTACACAACTACCAAGACACGTGATCACAAATGATCAGTAGTGATCATTAAGGATCACTAAGGATCATGGTATAGGTGATCACTGGTGATCATTAAGGATCACTAAGGATCACGATATAGGTGATCACTGGTGATCATGAAGGATCACCAGTAATCATAGAAGCATGAAGGACTATATAATCAAGATGGATTTCCTTTGTATAGAGCTTCGTGCTCAAGATCAATCATTTAGTATATCCTACTATTAGTTACGAATTGCATATCATCATTGTCATTACTTTAAGTCCCTGCTTGACGCCTAGTTATAAACCACCTCGAGAGCCTAGAGCACTTCCACGTGGTCTAGACGGCAACCCTCGTAACAATGAAATGGTTTTATTATAATTATATTATATTATAAATCTATCTCAGGCTGCTAGTATTGTATATTTTAAATCCTTGTGTACATGATATATTAAGTGCATTGTAAAATTAAAGATTCACTATACGCTCTTGTGTTATTCTGAATTATTTTTTCTTAATTTTTTTTTTGGTGTTGAGAAAAAGAGAGATGAGATGAGAGGAGAGGAGATTATAGGGGTTTTGATATTAGATGTAGTAGTTGTTATATAGAGGGAATTTTTGACTTCTGTGGTGTGGGATATAGGAATTGAAGTTAGATATTGTGATTTGGGGATATTGAATGGTGGAATCGAATTGAATCGATGTGTTGGGTTGGGTTGGGTTGGATCTTTGTAAATTAGGAAGAATGCTCGTAGTGAGAGATTAATTGTATTTATTTTATATATTCAGAAGGTATGAGTATAACATCTCAAGTCATCGCCTAGTATATTTTCATGCATCTTTCCTTTCCTTTCTAGAATATAAGTACTCGGGTAGTTTTAACTTTATATGCATCTCCTGGTAAATTTAGGGTCCAAATTCCATCTACCATCCTAAATACTCGCCTGTAGTATAAATCTAGTCTCCACATCTCGTGCCAGTTTAGTATATAGGTTTTAAAACAATAACTTACTCCATCAAATCAACAAATAACGTCTTTGATGGTCTAGTGGTCATGATTTCCGCTTGTCATTCAACTTGTTGAACGCGGGAGACCGGGGTTCGATTCCCCGTCAGAGAGTCCGATTGAAGACGCTTCCATCCTCACAGCACAAATCTATTTTTATTGATTTTTGGGGTGGAATTTTTTTCGCCAGGCGGAAGTTTTGAGGCGGGGTGGGGTAATGGAAATTTTTTCTCTTTACTTTTGAGGTGGGGCTCTTTGGTGAATTGAGAGGGGCAACACTTTGGGAATGAGAATGGTAATAGCCTAATAGATATGACGTTGAGATTGGGATGTGAATTGGGCTGAAGAATTGGTATGGTTGTTGAAGGGGAGGGAAGGTGTAGCGAGTTTTGTGATCTGAGGTTAACCCACATACCGCGAACTATTAAAGCTTTCGGAAACTCTCCATTGCTTTTAAGTTTTCTGCAATATACTACTCGAGTACTTACTACTTCCTCATGAGGAAATGCAACATACAGAAAACCATAAACTCAAAGTCTAAAAATATGCTTATATCTATCACGAGAAGAAATTCATGAATCATATGCATCATTAGTATGACTTCATACAGGTGCGAACAAAATTCTTGGCTGTGGTTGAATCGTTGCCAGAATCTTGGCTTGCAGAATGTGGCTTTTGCAAGGGGGAAAGCACATGTCAAGGGTAGACAGAACGAGGTTGGAGGAAATTCTTTTTCATGTCTCATGTGAAATTTTAAAGATTTGTAGGGAGGTGGTATAAAATTAGTCGCAAGGCGGCAAGAGTCTTACATGTGAAGCTCTCGATGAGTCGATTGTTCTCATCATGTGAAATAGAGGATAAGGAATTGATTGAGGAGGGGTGATAAGACTATGTTGTGTGCATCACACTATAGATTTTGAATCTGGATCTGGGAGCTATCAGGTTCCAGATTGTCAAAATGATATATTGTGTGTGATATAATGTGATGGGATTTTATCACGGCTCGAATTTATCCAGTTCGAGCGTGCGAATGTACAGGTGTGATGGGGTAATATAGTGTTCTGTATAGACCACGCCAGGGTCGACTAACTCTGGTTGTATTGCCATGTTTTAGGAAGATTAATGCGGAAGATTTGTGGTGATCGTCGATATTTGTGAGTACTGACGAACTGGGCAGGCAATGAATGCGTCGAGACTTGAAGGATGTAGTTTCTGTTGCCCCTAGTTAATGTATGAATGCTTGCTTCATCTTTTGTGTACGGAGTAGATATCACTGATCAGTCAATTATTAGGATATCGTAGCCCACATTAATACACGTCGATAAGATATAAATAGTGCTTCTCAAACATCAAGTATATCTGTACCGGTAGCGGTGTGCGTACTGTACTCCGTATGTACTTCCTGTCTGTCGTCAACACCATGCAGTGAGCTCTCGGATCCCCTCATTCAATAATAAATGTGCATCGGGAAAACTCGAAATCTTAGTTATCATCAATGCCAGGTACGGACGGATCTATGAATCCACAGCCCAGTAAGCGAAGTTCGAACGGAAGAAGACGCACCAATCATCATTCGAGAATTTTAATCTCGGAGGCCTTTCGTATGACTTGTTTTTCTTTAAGGCCCGATACAGAAAAAGTAGCTCAATAAAAAAAGCGGTTATCCATGAGCCTCATCATCCTTTTCTTACGCAATCACTCTGCAGTGTCTGCACAGTGCAGACAAGTTGGTTTCGAGTTCGCAAAGCTCACAAGCTAACAAGCTAACAAGCTTTCAAGAAGATGGAATAAGGTGGAACTAGATCAGATAGTGACCCATGCAGAAACTTACTAAGTCACCTTATCGCAGGATTTTCAAAAGGAGGTCGAGATCAAGGTTCCATGTCAAGATTTTGTGGGTTTGAGGTATTTTTTAGCTTTTGGTTGGATTTTTGAATTGATCCATCCACGGTTGAACTTTTAAATGACAGGATCCATAGGGTACCTAGTATGTATGTATGGATCGATCATACTCGACTGTTAATTCGGCCATCTACCTTTATATACACTGCACGCCGCACGGGAGATAATACGGCGGCAGCACCAAAATAGGTAATGCGTAAATTATCCTCAAGGACAGTGGCACTGTGACTGTGGTAGATCTTTGCATCCAATACTGCGGATCTTACACGGTACGAGAACATTGTGAAGATTGTAAAGATGAATGGATGAGCGGCGTATTCTCGGCGGCGGAGCTTCTTGTGATATTGATGTGATGGAGGCCATGCCATATAGAGGTCGGTTGTTTAACTTTTTTAGACGAAGCATCGAAACGTGTGAGAAGGATTTGACGCAGGCGCTTCAGTCCGTGTCCACTATCAAGTAAAAGTCGACAAGAACGTTAAGACTAAAAGTTTGTTGCTTAGGGTTGGGCCGGAACGATATCGTAGCGTCAAGTTTAAGATAAAGAACGGCTGATGCAATGTGCAAGACTCGTTATTCGATAAGGAGAATATCAATGACACCAGCACTCATTCATCGGGTTGCAGTCTGACTGTCTGACTGTCTGAGTCTGACAGACTATTTTCATTCCGTTCGGTTGATAACCATGATTTGTGTTTTTCATGTGAAAGTCATTCGATATTATGGATCGTCGCTCGTGAGATTTGATCATGCCATATATAGAGACTTATAGCCTATAGGTCTCGGTTCCTTCATCAGATGTTCATGACAATTGACCTCGCTCAATTTTACCCCTTTCCACGCGTAGGACTAGACCGAGGCCGTACATCAAGTTACATTGAAGTTACATTGATCACAGTGACTGTTATGAAGACGAGGTTGATCTGACCTGATTTTCATGAGTTTACTCAGTGCATGCTGCGGCTTGCTAAACGAGTAGCTTTCCAAGGTTTAAATATACCTAGACACTCTTCACATCCACCCTCCTGCATCTTTTAATATACCGGTAGATATCCGAGGATCGGAAAAATTCAATCATTCAGCCTTGAGAAACCTAGGTAGTGAGTGCAGTGTACACTATCACTTGACAATGGAATATTCCCACCAGTCGACCATGAGATAACTGGATGAGACTGTTGCAGTAGCATGGCGAAGTACATATACTTTAATATTAGATTCGCTCATCCATATCATATATGTCTGTCGAACTGTTACATGTCTACGAGGTACCTACCACCTACCTATCTACTTAATGAGACCTTGGTCCGGGTATCCATTGTATTGATCTCACCTAATAATATCAATTCATAAATCATTTTAAAAAGAAAGAGGCTCGTATCTATATATGTCTAGCGATATTTGATTGGCTAGCACCCAAGCTTTACGGAGACAACCGTATCGGTACTTTGATACACCAACGAAAAGGAAAAGGGAAAAAAAGAAAAAACGTTCTCGAACAATCAGCAAAAAGTTTCTCCTGCGCTGACCCCACTAAAACACATCCACTCTTATACCAGATACCCAAATACCAAGTAACAACAGCCCTTCCGATTTGTGACGTGCGGAAGCGCCACTTTGATCTACCCAGATTAAGTGTGGATTTCGTGAATCAGATTCGCACCTGAGCCACCGGATTATTGACTGCTTATTGGACCAGAGGAGTAGCATTTGTGATTGGATTGAAAGAAGTACGCAAAAGAGCGAAAGGAGAGAGATTGCGACAAATATACTAGGCTGAGGCCGGATAAGCTGATCACCAGTGGATGTGCTAGGGAAGGCTAGAGAAAAGATAGCCAAAGAACTGGTCATAGTTTGAGATTTCTTTTTCTCGTTGTTTTATACTTGTATGGTTTTTTTCAACCTGTACATGTATATACTTGTGCAGTGTTGCTGCAGAAAAGAAGGAGCAATTTCCAACTACCGCTACTATTTTCACACATTTCTCTGGCAGTCGCTTCGGAGAGACGTTCATTTTATTTCTCAATATCTTGAACTCTCACTACTTTACAACGTCACAACGACATATGAGTTTGGCTGAGGGGACTCTCACACCGGCCTCAGATAATTTTTGGACCATTTCCTCTTATACACCACACAACGAATAAACGAGTTAATACGACATTATGCCTAACTTCTTCGGAGGGGTCACTGGAAGGGGTGTTTCGACTCTTTTTGAAATACGGTATGCTAAGAATTATGTGCAATATTACCCTTCCATCACACACTAATATCTTTCAGTCTTGACGAGGAAATTATTGTGCTTCGAGGAGGCGAAAATGAAGCTTCAAGTCAATTGCTCAAGGGATCGGTAGTCTTGTGTCTGCCAGCTGCTTTGAAAGTTGAGGATGTACATCTTCGTATGACGGGCCAACTGAAAGTTGGGTGAGTTTTCCTAGTGCGATTCCCCTCATCTGCGAGTACTGAAAAACTAATTTTAAATTTCCAGTTGGAACGATCAGCGCGTTACTCCTACCGGTATTTCGAATAATCGAGTCGACAAAACTATAGAAATTTTCACTCATAGATGGGCTCCTTTTGTGGGTGGAGGAGGGCCAGGTTCTTCCTCAAAGGGATTGCTTCTACCAGCAGGAAACTATGAATGGCCATTCGAGCTCGTCATACCAGGATCTATGTCGGAAAGTGTGGAGGGATTGAATGACAGTCACATCATTTACAAACTGAAAGCAACGGTCGCTAGAGGAAAATTGGCATACGATTTACATGCTTGGAAGCCGGTGCGAATCGTCCGAACCTTAGATCCATCAGCATTAGAATTGGCCCATGCCATGACGGTCGAGAACATCTGGCCCAACAAAATCGAATACCAGCTAGTCATTCCACAAAAGGCTATCGTCTTTGGTACCGCCATCACCATCGAGATGAGATTCACCTCCTTACTAAAGGGTTTGAAAATTGGCAAGATAAAGTGTCATTTGATCGAAGTACAAGAATTCTTGCTTCCAGGAACTTCTACGACGTCGGATAGATATTGGAAGCATTCGAGAGATGTGGATGCCTGGACTTTTGAGTTAAACGAAGAAGAGCATTACCAAGATATGCTTGACGAAAGTGGACAAGATGGTTACAAGATGACAGAATTGATGCCATTGCCAAAGAGGTTGAGCAGATGCGTACAAGATGTTGACGTTCACGGTATTAAAATCCGCCACAAGGTAAAATTCAACATTGCGCTACACAATCCAGATGGGCATGTTTCAGAGGTATTTTGATTTCTTACCTTACCTGACGCAAAAATACTAATCGTAATAGCTCCGCGCAACATTACCAGTCACAATTTTCATTTCCCCCAACATGCCATTGACTGCCGAGGGTGCTCTTGTGGATCAGACACCAACAAATAATGCTCAGTCAGCCGCAGTATCAGCACACGCGCCTCCTCTTTATGGAGAGCACGTATTAGATCAACTTTATGCCGATATGGACCAATCTGGAATAATGACTCCTATGCCGCAATCTGGAATGAATACCCCATTTTATGCCCAGTCTCGAGCAGGTTCATCGGAAAATCTTGCCTCTATGGATGCTCCTCATCCAGCGGGTGCAGTCCCTCCTGCAGCATTGTCATCTAGGCTTCAAAGTTTAAACACAAATTTAAGCGCTAGTCGCAGAAATAGCAGCTTCCTAAGACGATATGGAGGATCTGGTTCTGGAGGAAACACTCCTCACCCTAACGATGACCATCAGGGAAGTTATTTTGATTCACATCACGGCCATTCTGCCTCTGCAACTGCTAGAAGTAATCCCCTTAGCAGACGAGGAAGTTTTAACGATGATCATCATGCGGATGCCACTCATACTACCATGAGCAGTGGATACCATACCCCAGAACATTTGGATTACAACGAAATGGGGGATTTGACCAAAGTTCCCTCATATACCACAGCCCTCAAAACACCAGTGAGAGGAATGAGCTATACCGATGCGCTACCCAATTACGAATCTGCCGTCTCGGCACCTCCAAGCCCTACATTACTTGCGAGCACTAGCCCAAACACACCCCATGAGCACTCACTGGACGCTGGGCATCCTCATTCGTTTTCACATTCAAATTCACATTCACATTCACACTCCAATTCACATACACATGCAGATACGCATAGACATCACGGACCCGGGTTTTTGAGGAGAAACCCATTCTCTCATATGGGGTTCACACCGTTACATCCACCAGCACCAGTACATTTAGGAGAAGGGGATGAAAGGAGAAGATTGCATTTGTTGCAGCACAGAGATAGGGTACATTGAGAGATGGAGGATTGGAGAATTTAATGGAATAGGCGGCGGGAATAAAAAGCGAGATTCCAATATGAATTTGGCGCAGCGAGGTCTGGATACAGATTTGGTGAATTGGGAATTTTGGGAGGGCGTTAAGATTGATACCTTCTGATGATACACAGATATAGAAAGCGATGGATATTAAATGGACGGAAAATTGGGGAATGGGGATGTGTTTAGTATTAATATACTCACCACTCCGGTGGCTTACGAACGATTTGTTCGTGTTGAAAATAAATATAAGATTTTTCACACTTTGAGACTTATTATCTTATGGCTCAATTGCTTGTGAAGAAATGAGAATGATGAATTAACCTCCCATCATGAGGCTAATTGTAAGAGACGACCATTTGTACGGAGTGTGTGTACCGGAGTCATTCCGCTCATATAATTGTGAGATCTTATTTATCCAGATATCATCACCTGCAACGATAGTTTTTTCTTTTAACGAAGCGCACTAGCTAGGTATATATAATTATACCAAAATGATAAAACCAAATAATATGCTCTTTCCTCTTAACAGTAAAATGTAATCTTGTACTCGAGTAGTCGTAGTCACTCTTTCGGAAACCCCAATATTCAAAGCTCACCTCACCTAATGGCGTAAGCCGAGGCCAAGAGCATCGTCCAAGCTTGAGCTTACCTACACCATAGCTTCCAGTCATTGACTGCTCATTGTAACAATCAATCACTTTATAACAAACTTGCTTTGCTAAGAGTCTTCATTTCAAAACGATAGATTTACTATTTGCGCTTCTACCAGATTTCTTAATTCATTCCTTGCAATTCGTGTTGTTCCAAAACTCACCAATGCCCTCAACACTAGCATAGCCATCTACACAAATCCAGGCGCATCACTCACCAAACCATGGCGCCCACAACCCATACTCCTCTTCTTCGATCCTCCTCACCATCATCCTCCCTCCGATCCCCATCCGAATCCTCCTCTGTCTTCCGCTCCCAAAAGACTCGAAAACAAAATATCATCCGCTACACCTCCTACGCATCCGCCATCCTCTCATGCCTCTGCGCAGGTTCCATCACCGCTTATTCGCTCTATGGTCATTTATTCCAATCGCGTTTGCATTATACCCAGTTACAGGTTAATATTGTTATTATTGCTGCCGAATTGGCTATGTATCTACCAGTCCCCGTCTTTGGGTATCTGTGTGATCGTGTTGGTCCGGCGCCGTTGTCTCTAGGGGCGGGTATTATGTTTGGGGCTGGGTATGCATTGGCTGCTCTTACTTATAAGAGTGGGGGGAAGGATATAGAGGGGTATGTGACAGAGAGGGGGTGGCCGATCATTTGGATGGTGCTGGCGTTTATGATTATTGGGATGGCGACGACGTGTATGTATATTAGTGCGGTGACGGCTTGCGCTAAGAATTTCGGGAAATCGAAATATAGGGGTTTGGCGCTTGCTTGTCCCATTGCGGCTTTTGGGTTGAGTGGGATGTGGCAGAGTCAGGTAGGAGAGAGGATATTGTATGAAAGGG